AAACTTCAGTACAAAGCAAGCATAAATGTCGCAGATCAGACACTCGTGGGAAAATACAATGTGATTTTGTAATTGATGAACAATGCCTTGCATTTCCTTACAGTTAGTAATTGAAAATTTAGCACAACAATGATGCATTGTAACAGTAACGTCTGAAATGATCATAACTTAGATTTAATGTTTACCTTATCTGCATTATTCTGGAGTTGCCTTCAGGGCTGCATATTTAAATTTGCATAATCAGATTTGTCAGCCTTTGTGGTTTTATGATGCCTTGTGATATCTCACGTCTCTGAAGAGCCCTAGTTACTGACAAGTGAATCTCAACTCTTCCTTGAAACAGAACCCTCCAGAGCCTTTGTGACTACAAAGAAACACAAAAAATACAGCCTACATACCATTCTAACTTTTAGAACTACTCCAATTCTTTTTGTTTAGGAATCATAAATGACATAATGTCAGGTCATCTATTAGACATCTGCTACAGCAGAATGGGAACTCGTACATTTTCAAGACTGCATTCTTTGTCTACCCTCCTGTTCTGGCTCCAAGCATATGGCTTGCGTTCTACCACTTGGGAGGCCACAAAAGCTCTGATGGGTAGCAGCTTTCATTCATGTTTGTTGCTAACTATACAAAAGAGTTGGTCAAATGCAAAATAAAGATGTAAACTATGTACTTAGTGCCATCTTGGGTAGTAGAAAGGTCTGAAAACCGTAATTCCTTATTAGCACTTAGTTTTTTTCACCCAGATCTTTTGTGAATGTGCTTCTAGTGAATTAAAACATTGCCACCAATGTAATAAAACAGCATCATCCTGGCAGGCTGTTTTAAAGCAGCAAGCACCACTGCTGTTTTAAAACAGCGACCACACTGAATAGTGTTCAGCATCTACCAAATGGACCTACCAAACCTACTTTAATAAATGGTTGGGGCAAAATCACAATGCACCATATGTGCTTACAAATCAATAATGCTCTGACAAAGCTGCTGGTGATTTTTAGTTCACACTCTCTTTGCTCTCCTCAGAACAGCTTACAACATTTACAGTGTACTTAGACTATATAACCTTTAAGAGCTGATGACCTGCCCAACCAAGGATCTTAGCAATACTTAAGGTGCTTGAGAAAGACTTGCACTGCTGATATATTTCTTTGAACAACTAGATGAGTTGCTGATCAAATGACTTAAAATGCTGTTCTAGCTTAAGACTTACTTGGATCTTCGGCATAGTTCAGTTTTCGAATGTATTAAATCGAACATTTACCTGACTCCAGAAGAAAACTTGGGGCAAAAGCTTCTGTGGCTTTGTGGTTTGGGAAGTCAAAAATGTCCCAGTGTGACAGCTTGATTATATCCATATGGATATGCCACATGCTCTAGGAGACAGAGCATAGTTACCTATTTTTGATGCATGCTGCTTCTAACATAGTAGAAAGGTAAATTGACTATCTCATCTTCAATAACATCTCTTTCACGTCTTCTCTGCAGTACTTGCTGAAGGTTAGAAAACTATTTGCCCTCTTTAAGCAAAAAAATTTGAAAATGAAGCCTTAAAATTACAACCATCTGTATGAAGCCTCCTTTACCAACCACAAAACCTCTTCTAGGCAACAAAACCCGTCTGAGGTTTTCTAATTATTTTAAAATACATTATTAGACTAAGACACCTTACTAATGCCTCTGAGAAAAATTTGATGCTGGGATAATTTTTTACGGTTGGTCCTCCTTTTTGGCAGGATAATCTGTTTTTAAGACCACTTCTTTTACACTGTCCTCTTTCTTAAAGCATTTTCCTTGCCATTTTACCGGAAGTTTGCTAGAATTTTACTTCTTTCACAGAAAGAAAGAAAGAAGACACTTTAACAGAGAGTAAAAAAAAAAAAGGCAAGAAGGTACAGCATAGAATTTATTATCATCCTATCATGGACATTAATAGGGAAACATTGTTTCTTTGTATGGCTATTTTACATCTAATAATCTCACAACACAAATTGGTTATGAAGTTCTATATGTCAAGAGTTCTAAGATTATATCAGGTTGCCCTTTTAATCTGGTGCTACTTAAGCTCTACTGGTTTTCACACGAACTTTTAACAGTTGGAAAGTGTCAAATGCTATTTGGATTATTTGGATTATTTGGATTATTTGGATTATTTGGATTATTTGGATTATTTGGATTATTTGGATTATTTGGATTATTTGGATTATTTGGATTATTTGGATTATTTGGATTATTTGGATGTGTTTAAGTGATGGAGAGCAAGCCTGATGAACAGTTACTAGCTCATGACAAACTTCCCCATAAACAACTTCTCATTTCTGTTTTACAGACACTACTCAGGTGAAGTAGAGCAAGCCTTATTACTCAGGTTTTCTGAAACAACCCAAAATAACCCTATCTCCATTCAGTCTTCTCTGCTGCTTGCCAAAGATAGCATAATAGTAGTTGTGAATGCAACAGTCCCATCTTTGAGAATGTTGAAGATACCTTCTTTGTTCTTCTTGTCTTTTCAGGATAGCATGCTTATACTTTGCATCTAGCTTTTCAACCTTCCATTTGTAGTACACTGTATGATCTCTGATGACACCGTCCATGGTATAAATTTTGGTATTAGTCTGACTCAGCAGCAGTGCATCAAACAGTGATGGCTTTATGATTAAGAGAAAAAGGGCTCTTTCCATAGCAGTCTTCTCTGTTGCTTTCTGTTGCTCAAAAATGAAAGCATCAAAAGTAAAGAGCACCAAATGGATATAATTCTTGTAACTAAACAATCTCCACTTCTGAGCTGGTGTACAAATATGTGTAATAACAAATATTTAAGTGATTTGCACACTTCACAAAAAACACATAAAGGCAGAGGCTGAAAAGAACCCCTTGAGATCATCTACTCTGACTCTCGCGCTCAGAGCAGGGTCAGCTACTGCAGTTTTGCCTAGGGTTGTGCTCAGAGGAGTTCTAACTAGCTGTAAAGATGAGACCTCCATAGCCAGGTACAGAGTTTGATCTTCCTTACAGAAAGAAAAAAAAACGATTCCAGATTAGATTTCCTGTATTTCAGTGTGTGATCACTGACTCTTGCCCTCAAACACTGGGGAATGTCCAGCTCTCTCCCCACTCTCCCTCAGATACTCACACACAATTAATATCCTGACACACCTTTTCTACTCCAGGATGAACAGCCCCAGCTCCCTCAGCCTCTCTTCCTATGATAGAGGCTCCAGTCCTTCAGTCATAGCTGTGACCCTGCACTGGATTTGCTTCAGTACATCCATATCTTCCTTACACTCAAGTGTCAAGACCCAGACTCAGCTCACATGTGTGTGCACTCACAGCGCAGAATTGAGGGGCAGGATATTTCCCATGACCTGCCATCAAGCCTCTGCCTAACACAGCCCAAGATACTGTTGGTCACCTCTGCTGTAAGGCTGCATTGTTGGCTCATGGTCAGCTTGTAGTCCAACAGGGTCCACAACTCCTTTTCTGCAAAGTTTTGAATAGATCAGTCCCCTACTTACACACTTTTTCCCTTACTTTTGACTTTAATGTAATAACAATATCTACTGCACAGTGAGAAAAATTAGTATCTGTAGGACCTGGAATATTCCACAGGAGAGCTACCCTGCTGCCTAATGTCATCCAATTAAGAGCCCAAAAGTAAACATGTAATTTTTCCCCCCACTAAAAAAAAAAAGGCAAAAAAAACCCCAAACAAACAAACGAGAAAAAAAGCAACAAAAACCAAAACCAAACAAACCCCCAAACCACTTGAAAAGGAAAGCAAGTTTTAAATTAGTCAGTAAGAGTAGCTTACTGAACATACACTAGAATTCTCTGCTGGTACAAGCAGAGAGTAAAGAGAGAGAAGTTTTATGTAGCAGTGAATGTAACATAGATCCCATTTTTAGACAGTAATCTCATATTTTACATAAACAAAGTTGTTGTAAAGGTTGATTTGCCAAGGCTTCCAGAACTGAAGAAGACAATTTACTGTCAAATATTTGTCTCTTAAAGAAAGAAAACAGAAATGACACCACGAGGTTCACAAAATGCTCTTTTCTTTTTCCCTAAAATACAGACATTGTCTCGTTAATGAATGCTGAATCAACTCTTATTTATCAGGAGACAATTGCATCTATAACATTAAACAACATCCATTGTCAGTTTCACTAAAACGACGGTTTAAGGACAAGGCAACCAGGATGTCAAATGTTTTGCGCCTAGCTGCAACAGCTCAGAGTTGCCTTCTGTCACTAGCAAGTTTGCTGATATAATATGATCCTTAATGCAAGCTAGGCTTTGCCTTAACCCCATTTTAGTTCTTTCAAGTAAAAAATTATCTGAAAAATCGAGGTATAAAACACAAATCAGAACAAACTGGCAATAATTAATCATGGATAAGTGGTGCAAATGAGACCAGAACCTCTTCTCACCAGTGTAATCCAGCACAGCTGCATATACTGAGAACAAAACACTGTTAGTCAGGCCTTTTGTTCTGCTTCAACAAAACATAGAAACAAAAGCAGCAAACCCACTATTGCCACCTTTTCTGCCTTTCAATTACAGGGTGCCATAATATTCAGTCAGATAGTTCTTGCGATGCCACTTGATCATTTGCCTGTAATTTGCAGGCCATCAAAATACAGCCCATCTGTATCACTTATCATTGCACTTATACATTCTTTGTGAATTTCTGAGAAGGAGTCTCAAAACAGGCTTCATTCATCACACAGAAAGCACTTAAACACTTAATTGTAATGATTTCTGTCTAGAACAGTCATACTGGCTGGAAGGTACTAAGAAAAGGAAATCAAACTATATATTCAATATGATGTAATAAAGCTGACTTACAGTCAAATATTTTATATTAGGATAAAAATCCTCAAGTCTAATGCTATTTTGCCTGAATATACTCTAAATTTCCGAACACATTGAAGCATACTTGATGAAAAAGACAAATAAGAACACAGTTGCTTGAGAAAAAATTTTCTTCTGCTCAATGAAATCACCAAAGTGCACGAGACATCCTTTTAATTTTGAAGAAGGAAATATTAAAATTCATTACAGAAGAATGTTTATAAGCACCTTTGCAGAAGAAAACCTGTGTGCTGAATTGCAAATAATAGCAAGATGAGGCCTGGGGGTGGGAGGGCAATCAGAACAGTTGTTGCTGATGAAGAAATGTGCTGACAATTCATAACGATGGGTTACTGCTTTAGTTCTAAGATTTCCTAGAATAAATAGGGAGTTGCTTAGTATTTTGATATTGCAAGCAACCATTGCTATTTCTTTGAAAAAAAATTAAGGAAAAAGAACAAGTTTGTGGAATATTGTTTACTGTTAATCAACACATCTTAAAATTTTCACAATACTTGAAGTTACATTTAAGTATACAACAGTCTCAATCACAAAAAACCAAGCAGAACAGTTAAACTACATAAGGCCTTAGAAGCACAGTGTGTATTGTTGGAATCTTATTTTGTTTGCAAATAGGGTACATATAATTAAGTTTACTTTTCATAGTTTTATTAATGCAAAATGCATTCTAGGGAAAGGCAACTTTATTTCACTATGAGTTAATAGAAGAATGTCAACATTCTCTTCTTGCCCCTCCTCCCACCCAATCCAGGCCTGATTAGTAAAATTTCCATACAATACTCAAAAACCAGTAAGCTTTCTCACTAAGCATTGAAAAGTAAGCCTGATCAGACAACTGCAAACTTGCAATTTGTTTATTACAATGTTGGATAAACTTCCAGGTTCTTTTGAACGAAACATTGCATCTCTACACAATCAACGTTGAAAACTACTTGGCTTTAAAAAAAACATGGTCCACAAAGTCTTCTAGGTTGAAAAAGTTTTACTAGTTTCAAAGAAGTAATTTGTGGCCTCAGTAGCAATGATGTGAATGATACCTGCATTACAACAGTGATAACTTCTAGCATTATTTTGGCAAGATTAAGACTCCTGAGGACATGAGTATGTAAATTTTTTTAACCTGAAAGGTAAGGGACAACACAAGTACAAAATAACTAAAGTAAATCTAAGCACAAAAGATATGAAAAATATGGGACAAGTTAACTATTTTGATCCTCTTCCCCTATAACAGGGCATGGATCATTTCCAGTGACTGTCTATTCTTATTACATACATTAGTAATTGCTCGAATTTCATGGCTATTACATTTTTACAGAACAATTGCTTAGAGGTCTGGTTTTTAATAACACCTGTGCAACAGAGTAAGTCACAGTACATTTTGAGATGCTTAAAAAATATCTATAAATTTGTTTTTGATACACTAAAGCACTTGGCAACACTTTTACAGCATTTGATTTTATATAATTAGAATTTCTTACAGTACTCCTTGTGTTTTGGGTTTTTTTACATCTAGGAAGGAAAAAACCTCACACAAAGTCATGTGAACTGCCAAGTTTGACTGTAGGATCATGTAATTCCAGTTTATAATGCTGGCACTAAAACCTTCATTAATTATGTTAACAAATCATTACCTGTACATTTAATGAAGGCAACCAAGATGATTTGAAAACACAACATTCAGGTTTTATGTTATGTATTTATCAAGATGTGCAGTTCTGCAGTGAAATGAAAAAAGCATGTAAATATACAAAGAAAATTACAAGTTCACCAGTTCATGTGAGACAAACTGTTTTAATCTTTCCAGGTACTGTCCATAGAGTTCCACATCATTATGGCCTGCTCCCTCTACCCACAGTGGTTCTACAGGTCTCTGGCAACGCTCAAACAATGCTAGGCCATGTGAAAAGTCAATTACTTCATCTTCAGTCCCATGGATTATTAACACAGGAGATGTTATTTTAGAAATTTTGTCAATGCTGTAAGAAAAAGATTATATCCATGAACACAGGGATACAGTTCTGAAATACAAGACAGGAATTTTCTTCAGTTAAGGTCTACTTAGTTTTACAGTCTTACAGAAACATATTGCAAAAGACTTTCTTCATAGTTATACAGATTAACAACTCACTGGACTAGAATTATAGTTAGAACTAGGGATTTACACACTAAGTACAGGAAAACTAATTACTTCTTTAACAGATATCCAAGAAAATGATTAGGGATATGAAACATCTAGGTTTACAAAGTTGCGTAAACTTCAAATCAAATGTTCCTCTTTGTTATTATTCACTGATTTTTCTCCAATTGTTTTATCAAATGCTTGAAAAATATTTTAGAGAACTTGCCAGACTACTTGTTATTCTACTAGTTGAAAACTTCTGTACTAGAGAAAAATGCTGGAAAAAAACCCATCCCACAACTTACTTTGGGAATGCATCAAAGCAATAGGTCTTCTTTGTATCAGGAAAAGCTACTCGCATTCCTGAGGTCAGTGGAGAATGAAGGATTACAGCAGCACTTTCATACCTAGCAGCAAGATCCACAGATGGTACTGTTCCTATACTCTGGCCATATATAATCACATTTTCAGGGCGGATTCCATACCTAGAAAATTAAAAATGTTAAAAGTGGTACATAAAGTGAAACAGATAAAACAACTACAGAGCAAGAAAAAAAATTTCTGAAGGTGAAAAGCTTCTAAAGGGTATCAACTATGAAACAGGAGCTGGTAGAAGAACAAGCAAGTCTGTTCTAGGACATTTGTGACTAAAAGGCACAATTATTTACTCTCCACTTGCAGTAATTTTTTTCCTTATGCCTGAATGATGTCGAAACAAGGGTTTAACTTTTTAAATATGGATTTGTGAATACAATTGTGACTTGCATGATAGTTGAAAGTCTTTACTAGTAACTCCAGTGGATCTAAAACAGAAAACCGATGAAAGCCTTACTAGCTCTTTGGTTATCATCAAATGGAGCACAATCAAGCCTTAAAAGATTTGGTCAGCTTTACTCTTCTGACACCTGTTAAAAACTGCAAGCTGGTAACATCATTCATAAATTTAGTGAGACTTAAAGCATGCTCATACTGACAGTGGTCAGAATACTGTGCATTCCAGGGAATAGCCTTCCATGGAAGATGCTTGGTCTTCTCAAACTAATCCACAAATAAGACAGCCCAATATGCAACACCAAATTAATGTCAAACCCCCCTCACAGTAAAATTTTTTTCCTGTAATTAACAGAGGTAAAGAAAAGAAATATCTATTTAACACTTATGCAAATCAGACTTAATATATATTTCTGCATTAGTGTGGAGCAGTTGCTACCCAAGAAACACTAGAAAAGCCTGTAAGGAGAATGTTATGCCGGCAAGAATAGCGCCCACAGCAGAAGTGAGCTGCTGATACATTGACCTCTGCTAACCAAGTGCTCTTAGCACAGGTCAGACCACAACAGTGTATCTGTACTTGGGAAAGAAAGTGCCTTAAATAGAAAGAGATACTGCACTCCATTAAAAGCAAACCCAGAAAACCCTCCAAAGTGACAACAAGCTCCTTTCCCCACCCTCAAAAAAACAAATGACAAAAGCAAAACTAAAGCAAAAAACCCAAACACCAATTGTTCTCGTACATTATTAGAAATTTCTTCAGCTTTATAAGTTAGTGCAGGCTAGCCTAATGCCACTGTGGAACAGCATGAGGTAAGTTTAGTGTTTGCCATGGTAATTCTAAAAGAAATGAGTATCAAGTGAAGGAAAGTGCACCTATTACCTCACCTTCAATAAATGCATGCATCTTCTCTGTCAATGCTATATAACACCACCCATACCCACAAAGAAGTTATCAAATTAGTATATTTCTCATACCTTTTGCAAAATCATGGAAGCAGAGCTAATGAAAAATTCATAGTACCTTATTAATAATAATGGCCAGTCTTCGCGAGCGAAGATCCGGGGAAGGTCTTTCCACCTTCCAGCCTGCGCATTGGATTTTTTAGGTGAGACACAGTGTGCGCGGAACTGAGCCCACCCTTTAATCCTAAGGTTCATCTGCCGGGGCCAAGCAAGCTTGGACCTTATAAACATGGATAAATAACTGTATAGTAACTGTATAGGTCACCAAACACTAGAAGTCCAAAAGACTCAAAATCAGGAACACTGGAAAAAAGATGTTTCACGTGTACCAAGACATTCAAATTACCAACCAACAAGAAAGCCAAAATCCACAAGTACTTTTCAATGAGGCAGAAGTCATTTCCCATATGTTACATCAGTATATAATAAATAGTTAATAAAAAATTTTATATTTAGGAAGACTTCAAGAAAAACAATATTACATTTTAGTATTACTAAAAGGCTAATATCAGTAGCAGAACTCATTAGGCACCCCTATAAACTTTCTAAATTGAGCTTAAAATCCCCTGTTCTCATCTAACATCTATTTATTTAAATTGTGTTCTGCTAGACTGAAATATAAGATTTAAAAGTATTAGCACAGAGACATTCAAGGAATCTTGTTCTTATCATGACTACTTAATTACTACTAGTGTTTCCTAGAAAGAGTTTCTAGTCATAATCTATTCAGGAGCAAATTAAGACTTCTACAACACTAAGACTCAATCATCAACCCAGAACAAGCCAGCCCTCCATCTCTCAAGAGTTCTTGGAGAATAGAATGTTCAAACATTCTGATTAACAAGATTTTCTCCAAATTCCAACACACAAAAATACAATAAATGAAAGTTTTGAAACAAAACCAAATGTAAGGTCTTCACTATTTTTGCATCTCTTGGAACACCTGAGAACAGACTTACACCTATCCTTTTACAAATAATCTCTCAATTCACATTTGTGCACTCTGAAGGTACAGCACAGCCTTCTCTCCCTTCCATAAAATCTGAACAAAACTTGCATTAATACCTGACACTTCGCATAATTAGTATGGCATGCAGACTGCACACAGCACATTATGACACAACATGGCTCTCAAATAATAAACCTGCAAATTATCACACTTGCATTTCCTTGGATATTGAGTTTTACAAGATGCACAGGAAATTAAAGCACAACCTAAAAGTATATTTTGGAACTTATGTCCTCCTCTTTTTCATTATTCTTTCCCCTATTTTTGGATCCTTCAGCCTAAAGATAGATAAATGATGGTTACCAGAAAAATAATCCAAGAAAAGCATTTACTCTATTGGGATTAAAGTAATCCTTTCTCCACTACAGTCAAGCAAACTGCCTCACAGTGCCCAGCAGAAACTACTTGGTTTGCAATCTGAAAACTGAAAAAGAGTGAGGCAAATAACCAGAAGTGGTAGTTCAAAGTAGACCTCTGAATATTCTTGCTTTAAGAGAAAAAAACAAAACCCAATCAATCCCCTCTCCCAAATAAAATCCAAGCAACTTGGAAAACAGATCAACATGTGTTGTTTCTAGTCTTCCTTCTCCTGAACAGGGTTCTGAAATCCTTGGGAAAAAGAAAGAGTCCAGCTGTGCCTCAGTTCCTATCTATCAAGAGTATGACTTTACAGCCTAAAACAGAACAATTCTTGAAAAAGTAACTGTTGCTAAGCTGCCTGGTCATAAAACTTGTCTACTCCTTTTGATAGTCCCATAAATGCCAGTTACAAGAAGTTTTGTACAGAATTATCAGTTGACTATACACCTGGTCTCCCAAATGAGGAAGTGTCAGATCAAGAGAAAAAGTGGTAGTAATATTGTTTTCTTAATCAGTGTCTTAGAAGTACAGGCCATCCTAAGGAAGAGGAATGTGATATTTACAGAGCTATATGCTGCAAGTAGTTGTCCTGGTGACAAGAGATTAAAGACACTGTAAAAATTGTTAATATCTTTGAAAGCTCATTATCTTGATAATAGGACTAATACAAACACTATTGTCCATTAGAGTGATCTTAGATAACTTGTGTCAGCATAGGTTTTTTTTGTGGGTTTTTGTGTTTGTTTGTTTGGTGCTGGTTTTTTTTTTTTGTTTGGTGTGAGGTGTTTTTTGTTTGGTTTGTTTTGGGATTCCCCTCCCCCCCTTTTTTTTTTAACTTCACTTACCTTTAAGAACCAAATACTGGCTGGAATTACCATGATACACTGCCAGGCTCTTAAAGAATACCTGCCATTTTGACCTTGATATACATAAGGGAGACAGAAAAGAATTTAGTTTTTTACTTCTGAACTACTGCTCTTAGTCTAGAAGACTCACTCGATTTACAACAATAGAATAAAGTATCAGTAAAATCAACCTTAGAAGGATACATTTTCGATAGCACCTCTCAGGTTTACACTAATGAAAAGTTGCAATAGATGCTTTGGAGAAGCTACTGTTCCTGAAGATATTGCAACATAAACATTTAGAAAACTGACACCAGTGCTCGGGGCACATGGAACAAAGAGGAACATCCTGAGGATGAATCTCAATTCACATTTAGAATCTTTTGTCATCATAGACATAACATGCAAATTACAGCTGCAAATTGCAGAACATGAAAGGCATGAACATTATCCACATCTTTAACTATCAACATTCCAGGCCACGAAAAAAATTCCTAAGTGTTCAGCTCCTCCTAAACTCAGATGCTTATTCTCCTTCTTGAGTATAAAATATTTAACACTGGGAGAAGAAAAAAGGAACTATGTTTTGTGAGAGGCAAGCTCACTGACCACACATACAGTAATCAACAAACTGCACCTTCTCTGTCTTTCTCATGACAGTCTGGCCTTTTCTAAACTCCACAATGCTACTGATATACTTGTTCTATTGACAAGATTTCTCTTCACAATTAAGCTTTTTCCTATCAATCTAAAAAGTTCAATTTCTCTCTAAATATACAAAGTTACAGTACCTCAACCTCCAGCCAAAAAAACAAACCCCACCTACTTCCGAATTAAAAAAAAAAAAAAGAAATTGTGAATTCTCAAAATGAACACTTTTGGCCAGCATCCAAACAGATTCAATCTTATTCCTACATCCGGTTGTTCAAATTATGGACATCGTGTCCACTTTGACACATCAGTCTGATGGTGAGATTTACCCTTCCATTTTTCAATTATTAGTCAGTCCATGACAAACAACAATGAAAATGGCTGTTTGGCTTCTTACAGGTAAATCTGGTCATGAGGCAATTCTGGCAAGTCTTCAGAGGTTTCTGAAGGAGCGCCACTTGCCCTGCATTTGCCTGGGGCTGGTTAAACCTTTCCACCCTTTCTAGGGTGTCATCAAAGGCCTTCAGAGAGCAGAACAGCAGAAAACAGGCGTATCCCAAAATGACTCCTGGCATTTCAACACTTGGTAGCTATGACAGTCAGAAAAAGAATGTCTTCACTTGCCACTTTTATACAGTTCCATGCACATGAATATGCAATAATGTATAACTTTTCCAAACATGATGAAGGCAGTGAATCACACTGCCTCCTTTCACGGGCAGCTTCTATATGAGTACCTACTGCTTCCTATTAAAACACTTACAGCAGGTAAAGAATAGGAACACAACTCAGAATCTGTCTCTGCTGTTTACATTTTCTGTTCTGCTGCCAAATTAGCTTTCTGTATTCACTTCCATGAATGTTAATATTCATATACCCTTACAGTAAAATCTCACCATCACCCTCAATACTAGTTCCAGACTATTTCACCCCATGTATCCAGAAGGTTTCGACACAAAAAATAAACATAGACAACAAATGGACTGAGGTGAGGTCATTCTTTAATGGAAGAGAGAAATGCAGATAGAGGTAATATGTATTTAGAGGTTCCCCCAACAGCAACATCTGCTCAGAAAAGAGCATGCTTAGATGGGACATTCTAGTCATTGAATGATTTGTGTTGGAAGGGATCTTTAATGATCATGTAATTCCAACTTCCTGGGCCATGGCAGGGACACCTTTCACTAGACCCGTTTGCTCAAAGCTCTATTTAACCTGGCCATGGACTATTCCAGGGATGGGGGATGTTGCCCACAATTTCTCTGGGCAACCTGGTTCCAGTGCCTAATCACCATCACAGAAAATAATTTCTTCCTAATATCCAATCCAGATCTAGCTTCTTTCACTTTAAAGTCATTAGCCCTTGTCCTATCAATAATGAATAATATTATTTGATAAGAGAAAGTATACTTCATTGTTTAAGAATCCACATGAGAATTCAAATGGCAATTACATTTTCTTGTAGGTTTTCTACTCAGACATTTATCATGAGGAAAAAGTGACAATAATTACAAACTGGTTTATAAAACAGAGCCTGTAAATTGACATAGAAAAAGTATTGCTTCACTATCCAGTTCTCTTCCATTTTCGGGTACATTTAAATAATTCAGACTGTCTCCCACATTGTTCACAAACCATATTACGCTTTTGGTTACTGTTGCGGGGTATTTGACTAAGTAGCTAACTTCCAGATCACCTATCAACTACAAACAGCTCTGGGCTTATGGAATAGATCTAGTCATATCTCAACTTTCCACTGTAACAAAAATAAACACCAAAACCTAATCTAACAACATAGTATACATGTTTTTGAATATATGAGGTTGAAAATCTGTCCTCTGTGGTTGAATGATGCTTATGATAGTAAGGTTTTCCCCTACTTTAAGACACAAATAAAATACACTTTGAAAAGAAGTATCACACTGTTGTTATAACGTAAAAGAAATGCAAGACAGTATGTGTATTTCAAACACTAAAAAGGGATAATCTCCTCTTAAACACTACATCGACCAAGTTCTAAACTCACTGTAACAACTACCAGGTTCAAGGATTTAAAGTTCGTACACGTCATTACTCTAAGACACTATAATTACTAAACAGGATGCTCAAGTTGCAACGATCAAACAAGATGCTCTACATTAAATTCAGCATTTCACACCTTTCTGGTGCAAAATGCACAACATGTTGAGATTTTTTTTTTTTTTGTGCGCAGCTATTCTTACGATTGCATAGTATTTTAAAAAGAGGTTTTGTAGTTCAGGTGTTTGTAACACAAGAATATTGATATGAATGGAACAAGTCATGTTGAATAATGTTCTCAGATTTAAGAAGTTGCACTTATTTGATGCCTAGGATTCTCACATGTATCAGTGAATCCTCCAGAGTCTTTCACCTTACTACTTTATCTCCCCAAAACCAGAGGTTTAGAACACAGAAACAATATCCTTCCAATTTGCATTTTTTCCTTGTCCAGTTTTATTCTATTTGAGATAACATCACTGATTCAAAGTTTTGATTTTTTGTTGCCACCATAATGTATTTACCCAGATCCATTACAACCTCTTCCACATTATATTTTGCAAAGATAGCTTTCTATATAAAACAAAAGTACATTTCTATCTTTGTAAATGCTGTAGCTGCCAGTCTGAATTCTGAAACAATCTGAGAAATACAGAGTCTAACCAAGTTCTCTTATAATAGCTTTTCTACTGTCCCTCCCTACAAAAAAAGGTAATAGAATGATCTGAAAAAACATTCTCTTTTACCCACATCCCAACAGTGTGTCAGCTACTGGGGAATCAATTACTCTAGATTTTTCTCATCTTTTGTATTTTCGCAACTGAGAAGATTCCAAACTGTGACAATAAGGATTATCGTCTAATCATTTAAGGTGAAACCACACACATCTAATTAACTTTAATCCCATTTCAATTTTTCTAGTATGTAAGTACTATACACTGATCCTGTTTAACACTGACCAATACACCAATCAGCTTGGATATGAATCCATTAATCCTAAAATACAGCACTGCTGTTTAAGCTACCAATGCAGATGAAGTAAAACCATTTGAAAAGTATGCTGTAGAAGAAAAATGGCGACTAATGTCTTACCTTGTTCTAAGAGCCACCCAAGCAGCATCAATGTCAGCGTACAGATTCTTCTCTGTCGGCTTCCCAGAACTTGCACCATATCCAGAATAATCATATGAGAAGATGTTGCAATTAATCCGTGAACCCAGTCCTATATAAAAGCTGCTCATCTGACCCAGGTCAACAGCATTTCCATGCGAGAAGAGCAAAGTGTACTTGGCGTTAGGTGAGCAACGCACAAACATACAGGCAATCCTGTTACCTTTACTTGTTCTAGTCATGAAGCATTCAATGGCATCTTTTTCTCTAGAAGAATATTGCCAGTCTGCTCGCTCTGAGAGATGTAAAGTCCAGCGACTACCACTCTCATCACACATCAGTGTGTATGTGGGATCAGGAGGTAAGAATGCCAGCTTGGAGGCAATTTTCCCTGGGCATGGTGGACAACAGAACAGGCAACACAGTTCACTGAAGGAAAGATTATTCATCTTCTAGTCTGAAACAGGAAGAGAGAATGATATCAGTTTCTAATTACAGTCCTATATTAAAAAAGGAAAAAGAAAAAATAATTAAAAATGTAAACCAAGTCTCTGGAAAATAATAAATAATTTTAGTGGAAACATTCAACAAAATATAGATTTAAATACATATACTTATATTTCCATATAATATCTAATTTGATATTATTAGTTACTTCACAGTGAGCATATTATTGCAGAAGAGCGATAACTCTAAATCCCTTTGATAGATTTCAAAAGTAAAATATGATTACCCAGGGTAAGAAAAAGCATGAGTTTTGGAGCTTCTTTAGAGGAAATGAAGGGCCTCATCCTAAGACATTGCAAAAAGTGTTCTTTCCATTGACAAATACATATGTTTTAAAAAACAATTAAAATAACTGGCAGTGTTGCAATCTACTAAGGCTATGCAGATCTCTGTAGCCAAAAATCACTATGGTATTTCCTAAATACAGAGAATATGTACTGTAATCATGAGATATGGGCTCCTGCAGGCAGTATCAGGAGTATGAAAGGTGCATGAAGGCCAAAGCTTAGAAGTCAAAAGAAGATGATGCTTGTGGTTTAGCTAACACTGCAGAGCTTTGGTACGCTAAAATCCAGCCACAAACTCATCCTCATCCTCACCCCATGTACTGGTTGACACAAATGTTTCCTTAAAAGCAGACATTAATTTACAGCAGGGAAAAAATCCTTTGTTGTGATGATACTTTTTCTGAGCAATAAAATTTGCTAAGTACCGTGCTGGAAGCCAGTACACCTAAGATAAACATTTATACTTCTTTCCTTGTGTAATTTCATCTCAAACAAATTTTTAATGACAAATATATCTACAGGTCTCCAACTAAGCTCCTGACAAGTCCCTGTGAAGAAAACCACTCTCAGTTTCACATACCAGCTTTGATTGATAGGCTCAAGTTTACAAACAGGAACAAAACAAGCAGATTTCAGATGACAACAGTACTGTGCTGTTTCAGAAATATTAGGGTCATTCGACAATAAAATCTTACTGCTAACCATAATAACTGACAATATTTAGATCATATTTCAACTTTTGTCCTCTAACTTGTATACAAGTTTAGTTTTCATGCCCGCACAAATTTCTCTTTAAAAAAGCCTCAAGAACACTGCTATAAAAACATTTGAACATACATCACAGAACAACTATCTGTATTTTGGATGCATGAATGGTCTCTTTCCTGTGTTAGACAATGAATGCATACTGCATACAATGCTACATGGAGCAGACTTTCAAAGCAGCAAACACAGGCACAGCAAGACAGTCTGACAAACAGCATGAGTGTTCTGGGAATACTACTTCTCTTTGTAGGGCACAAAAAAAGGGGCTGCTGCAGCCAAGAGCTTTCATCCCAAGCCTCCAGTTTTCTTCAAAACAGAGGGAAAACACAAATGCTTAGATACGGGAAATAACACTATCAGTTTAGAGGAGATGGTAGGAAAGGTGCACTGATCACCTTCCATAAAAAGGTAGATGGTCTCTTAAATAAAGAACCGTAATAAAGGATCATACTCCTGCCAGCTAAAGTAACAATAACCTCGGGTATCTATGAAATCAGCACAATTAGTCACTCAAATTTGGAATAATTCATCTATTCCATCAATCTGTTTCTCATCTGTAAGAGGAGATTATATGAACACCTAATTTCATTTTTACCCACGAGTCCAGACAAGTGGAAGGAGTTTGTGGAGGATGCCTAGGGACTGGCAAAAGGTTTAGGCTGTCTTATGCACAGGAAAAACCCTACACTTCTTTTTTGTTCCTTCTTCTCTTACATTTGTGAGCACCAAAGGAGCAACTTTTTTAATCTCTACTTAGTAAGTTCACATTCACAGTCCAGAGAAACTCCTGTGATGCCTCAATAGGTTTTTTCTCCATGAAGTATTTATGACCCAATACTCAAATATACTTCTGTTTCTAACAGAAAATATTAAATGGATCTGTTCCAAGTGTGTTTTCCCACCTTTTCAGAAAAGTAAAAGGTAAAGTTAGATATTATACTTTATTGTAAGGGGGTGATTTTTTTTTTTGGTGAAAACTTTAAAAGAATACGTACTTCCAAATGTAAGGTATAAAGAACTTGTTCCTGTGCCCAGGAACAGTAGATTGCACTGTATACAGTGTACTGAATACAGCGGTAGTTGCAGAATTTCTTACTTCCTCCCAATCCACTTGTCAGAAAGAATTAGAACAGTTTACATTATTTGTAACTATAAACAGCCCAGCAACACTACAAATATGATCTTCCTCAGAAGATATTTGCTATTTGTCAAAGTAATCTCAGAAGACTGGAAGCTGGCTGATAGCATTCACGCCCAGAGCAGCACTGCAGTAACCACAGTTAACCAGCTGAAGTGGTATACTGTGCCCCAAGATAGCTTAAATGTGCTAAAAATGGGTTGTGACAAAATATGGAGAATGATATGCTGAAGACCATGGATGAAGTATTATTTCTCCCCTGTGCTAGACTAATGCAGACTTTACATATTGTTCTTTTAATACAATGGCAGATCTGCCTAGTGAAACTAAAGATTCTGATTCCAGAATCTTTCTCCATCTGAATCATGGCTACCAAGAATTCTTTTCTTTAAAACACGTATGTGCTGCTTTCTTCACTTAGAAGACCCAAGAAAAACAGCAGATCCTAAGCATCACTAACTGAACAAATTTGACACTAAACATCTGCTGAACTTCCTCAGAAGAATACCTTCAACTAAATGCAAACAATGTTTCTGTTACACTGGAACTGGTTTGTCATTCATTGTATTCACATGAGTGTGTTCTTAACCCCAGGATCTGGAATGGAATCAGGATGTAAGAGAGTCTCCAGGGCGTATAGAGTAATTCTACTATTGTTGTCTAAAAGTTCAAGTGAATCAGCATTTCAGTCTAGTAGTTATCAAGTAGATGTTATAATTTAATGTCAACCGAACATGGATTATCTTTCTTCAAAAGTTATTCTTCTCAGACTCTTCAGTGGGGGATTAAACTTAGCATTACTTCAGAAATAGTATTGTTTTGACATCTTAAGGTTAGAAGACATGATTTCCTAATGATTCCTCCATCCAGAAATTATTATGGTAAAAACTATAGGAAAAGTCACAAAAACCCTTTCATTTAACACCACCTAGACTTGGTAAAACCTTTGGAGGTCAACAAAACCAGTTACTTTGAGACTAAAATATAATTCATGGAAAGTAAACAAGACACGACATGCAACGTTGCATTAAAAAACACTCCAATAACGAGTGGGTTTGATGTATGCTTAATCTGAACTCTTACTGAAACCAGGGCAAAAACAACCCTGACCACAAATTACCTTAAGCATACAGTTCCACAAGTACGGATGAGTAACTTTAATGGGACTCATCTGACTAAGATATGTTGTGCATGCCTAAGTCTAACACTTTCTGAGCATGTATGATGTAAGCCTCTGTGCTCATTACAGTAGCATCATCAGACTTTGAAGTTGGCACATCCCAACAACATAACTATCTCACCTTCTATTTGACATATCAATAATAAGGATGCCAGTGCTGTGCTGCAAACACAGTTCCTCCCGCTGGTAAAATATACTAACAATGAAAAGAACATAATAAGAGAAATATACATCCCCTTTAAAATTATACTGCATTCTTCATATTAATTAAGTAGGAAAATTCTGTGGAAGAAACTGTAGAAAGTTGATACACTTCTATTATTGCAGCAATAGAGGTTAAGAAATAAAACAGACCCAAGTGGCATCACCTACCACTTCTGTGATAGCCTTTAAAAGGTAGGCCAGGTCATTTTATCAATTTTATCTCTTTCACCCTCTTATGAATAATGAAGTAACACATAAAATTACAAATGTAAAACTGCCCACAGGCAGTAATTTCCATTCATTCTTTGGCAATTAACCTTTCCATAAAGGTTGACAGCAGAAAAGGTGAAAACATCTATCTAATCTTAAAGAACGCATCAAATACTTACCTTGTGATTCCTATGATAACACAAATGTAGTTCTTTCATATAACAATTAGTCCTGTCCTTCTCTCTCTGCAAATCATAACAAGAAGGCGGAACCTACTATTCACATCTTTGAGTACTTCACTACGTATTAGCCTTAAAAGCCCAACCCTTGCAAACACTTATCTAGAAATCTTATATTTACATTAAATACAAATTATTCTAATTGTATAGTTAAATTAAATTACTTATTTCATAGGAACTATTCACAAGAACAAAGTCAAACTTGTAAATATAGCTACTGGTTTGTAAATTTTAGTGTTGCTCTAACTGTACCAGGCAAGGTATTAAAATTGTTGGGGTTTTTTGCTTGGCTGTTGTTTGCATGTGGTTTTTTGTTGTGGTTTTTATTCGTTTGGGTTTTTTTTTTAATTATTATTTTTCAGCATATACTACTGGAACAAGAAATTCTAAAGTATTTTCCCTCACACTTTCATTAAACACGAGGCAATGAAAACTTGAGGTCAAGTCACTACTAATGTAAACTTTAAATATTTACTTCAACATCTGCTTTAAATAAAAAATGGAACAGAAGGATACGACCATCCTTTAACTACTTCAACAGTTGTCTAATTAAGTATTACATAAAAGGATTAAGTTTATAGAATATTAAGAAAGAATACACAATAGCTCTGGAACACAACACAAAAGAAGTATATTCAATAATGAAAAAGCCATACCAAGAAATACTGTGAAATAACTGTTTAAGGTAGTTTTCAAAGAGCAAAGTAACCTACATAGAAGCCTCACAGAACAAAAAATTCACTTTGTTTAATTTGATTCTAAAGAAATAAACAGCCTTACTACTCTCACAAACTGTACCTAGGTTAGCGAATGTGCGGATATCATTCGCTTGCTGCTGGTTACTTTGTATATCTCCAACCTAATGGCACAGCTGAAAAAAAAGAACAGGAATACAGGAAACACTAACTGAAAAATCAAGACATTCCTTATCACCTAGAAAACAAACTAATTCTCTAAAAGTCCCAGACAGACAACTGCAGGATTAAGTCGATTGCATAATGCCCTGCACGCTCCAAAGCAAGGTTCTGCCCCATGGATGTGCTCTGCTAAAGCCCCCCGCCCTCCGTTTCGGCCCCTCCGCCGCCGCGTTCCCCTCGCCGGGCGGTCACGAACCCGCAGCTCCGCCTCTGACACTGCTCCGCGCTCCGGGGGCTCCGCTCTGACTTCCGCAGTCACCAAGTTTCCTACCTAATCCCTAATCAAGTACTTTAAACTTTCAAATTGACAACACACGAGAGCAATTTTAAGGTCAGCATCACTCCCCCCCCTCAACAGCAGAAGATAAGGGAATAAATTAAACCAGGCTGAAGAGAACTAAATGAACTCCTCAGGTGTCTGTATCTGAAAAGGACTCCAGAAGCCCACAGCAGTGACACGAGGACCAATTGTTTAGACCCGAGAAGAGAGCCAGGCTTTAACAAGCGTGTCCACAAGCCAGCGAGCTCGTTTCCAACAAAGGCGTCCAGGCCAAGACCACGGAGACGGGAGCGACGGAACAGCCCCGGACGCTGCGGCGGCGACAGGCGGGGGCAGCGGCGGGAGGGCGGCGGGGCCGGCACCTCCCCGCGCCGTTCAGACCCTCCGGCCGAGACAAACGCGGGGGCGCCGCGAGCCCTCCCGCCCGCCCCGGGGCCGCCCCACGCCGGCGGGGCCGCAGGTCCGAGCTGGGGGACGGTTCCCCACGCCCCCGGACGGCGGGTCACCACCACACCGCCCACCCCCGCTCCGCCGCCACGGGAAGCAAGCCTGTACCTGCACCTGGCGGTCCGCCCGGCGGCCCCGCGCTGTCCCGGCTGCCGGACCGGCGGTGTGGCGAGTGCCGGCTGTGCTGAGTAACGGCGCGGCGGGGGCGGCCCGCAGTGCCCCGGCCCGCGCCCGCAGCTCCGCGGCAGAGAACGCGCGGCCCTGGCAGCGCTGGAGCCTCCGCCCCGCGCGTCCTCGACAGCGGCGCCGGCCTGGCCTCGCCCGCAGACTGCACCGGCGCGGCGGCTGCCGGGGCGGCCGGGGGCGGCCGGGGCGGGGCTCCGGCGGCCGCAGCGCCAATGGGGCGCAGCCGCAGCGCTGCCCCGGCCGCGGAGGCTCCTCCCGAGCGCGGGGTTGCGGGGGCGGCGGAGAGGCCGTGGAGTGCCGCGGGCGGGGTCTGAGCGGGCGCTGGCGGCTCGGGGCGGATCCGGGGCGGGCGGCCGGGAATGAGCTCG